CTCTATTTTAACAACTGTTGATTTTTGAAATTCTCTTCACCTTTTGATTTATATAACTAGTTTTTGGAGGTTTGTTTTGCTTTAAAAAACAGCACATTTGAAGTACTTTATAAGAAATCTACAACCACATTAAAGCTTATCAACATAAGATATTTATTCAACAGTATTTCTTCTAGAAAAATCAAGAAAAAAATCTGCAGGCAACTAAAGCATTTATATATGATAACTGATTTAAATCCACAATTTTCTGTAACTTTTGCTTCAAATTACCTCCCTTTGGTGTAGCTCTCTAGCATAGGAGGAATAAACGGTAGTTTGCTTACATTGTTTTCAATAACAATGTACAGAAGACTAGAAGAAAATTACAAACTTGGAGCAGTCTGAGCCTCAGTTTTGGCGTTTTCATGAGTCTTAATTACGGTGAGTGATTGAAATTTTTATTATTTACCATTACAACAGTTACTGAAGAATGTATAGCATAAATTAACCATGCAATAAAATATCTAACACTTGGCAAGTGTTTTCGCACATTTTAATTTAATTCTGATTAATTATGTTAGCATTACTTTAGTATTTTATAACGAAAAAGAAAAGATTATGCATGGCCTGAGGAACCAGGAAGAGGGGGGTATCCCCCCACAAATAAATATAGCAGATATTAAACTATAATATGAGCAAATGAAATTAAATCCCCCAACTTAGATTGTATCTACGGGCCTAACGTGAAAAAATTGGTCATTATCAGTCACATAACTTTATCCCAAATTTTAAAGTTTAATTTGAATTTTGTTTAATTTTAATTTGTTGTATTCACGGTATGTATGTAGCAAAAGTCACTCACCAGCTATAATAAATTTAACTTTTTTGATGGTCGGGTAAATAAAATTTTGTATATAATAGTAGATATCTTTATTTATTATTTAAGATAATACCTGCTTTTTACATGAAAAATTATGAATTTATGAAAACCAACACTATTATGAAATATTTGTAAAATGGAATGACCTTTGTTGTGGCATCCGTAAAAAAGAAAAGGGGGCAGGGGGTTAACTCTGTACTTAATATATTTCAGTTTAGGAAAGGGGATTACCTTGGAAGTATTGTCATACAGACAAATGTATTATGTACTGTAGTGGATTAGTAGTAACTGAATTGTATATATACCACAGTAAAATAATTAATTAAAAAAAACTTTTTTTAAGCTGTTGTCATCCAGTGTTTACTTATAAAAGAAAATTCATATTCAGCTAGCATTTTCTCTGTACCACTGAACTAATTTAAGTCAACTGGGTTCAAATAATAAGCATCATGCATTAGATTTAAAGCAAGTAAATTTATGAAATGAATATCTATACTCCATTTTTTTTTCTTGAAGAGGGGGGGGGGGTTATTGGAAAGAAATGAAAAGCATGATTTAGAGTTTTGACAAAACCTAGAACCAATTGACCTTTTTATTGCAAGTTTTTAAATTTAAAGAATATCTAAAATCAATGTGCCATGGTCTCAACTTTGTGTTGTATACTTCTTTTTTTAGAATGAAATTCGGCACTTTAAAGCCAAACTCGGAAAGAAGCGGAAACAGAATTGGATGAGCTGATATAGAATTAGACAGGAAAAACATGTAAATAATACATTTAGTAAAAACGTTAACTTTTTAAAATAAAATGATAAACCATTGAGATTTCTTGGAATTTAGTTGATTCCAATAAACATGCTTTGCATTCATCATAATTCCCCAAGCTCAACTAGAAATGGTTCTAAGTATACTATATGACGGCAAAGCTGTATAATAATATTTTTATATTTTAATTTTATCACTTTTTTCAGATTATAATACATTATTACAGTACAGACCACTGATGCTGGAAGTGAGTGGATAGTGTTACCGGAGACTCAGGGATCCAGAAAATAGATCCATAAATTGTACAGTGTATTCATGAAAGTGCATAAAAAAATGTTCAATCCAAGAGTAACATTCTTTGTTTGTCTGTTAGCATTTTTTTATTGATGTAAATCTAATAACTATCAATTTTTAGCATGCAGATTCATAATCATTAGATAGTATAAGAATCTGAAACATATCTTTATATTCTGCATTTTGAAGTATCATAATTAAAACAAGGTCAATATTAAATGATCAATCAATTAATTTCAAAACTGACATAATGTTTTTGTGAGAAAAAAGAAAGAGCGCTTATTTATATATTGTTCCTAATGTACCACTGATGTTGGTGTGAGTGAAATAAAAATGATGATGATGATGAACTTGTTTGAAGTCTGACGACACGTTCCTCAAATTTATGTTGTGTCTCTCTAGGTATTATATCTGTAACAGGAAAGGAGAAAATGTATGGCTGGACCGGGAATCGAACCCGGGACCCCTGTATCTCTAGTCAGGTGCTCTACCAACTGAGCTATCCAGGCCGATATCCACGGCCCCAACCATTACATTCCTCCCTCCTTAAATGGTCTTCGCCCTCGAAGACACAACCCAAGTTCTTATTGCCCCTGGCAGGACTTTCACCTGCAATTCCAGGGGTGGTCAACGGCACCAAATCTGTAACAGGAAAGGAGAAAATGCGTGGCTGGACCGGGAATCGAACCCGGGACCCCTGCACCTCCAGTCAGGTGCTCCACCCACCGAGCTATCCAGGCTGATATCCACGGCCCTAACCATTACATATATATTATGTGTGAAATATTCATATTTGTCATTCTCTTCTGATTTCTACATTGTTTTCAAAATGTTTTTAAATTTAAATACATTTGTACAACCAAAATTTTGATATATGCCATTTAAAGGATTTGCCCATTAGGGTTATTAATGAATATCTTTTAGGGTCAGTTCAAGTTTATATATATATATATATATATATATATATATATATATATATATATATATATATATATATATATATATATATATATATATATATATATATAGCCCTTTAAGATGGGTTAACATCAGGTTATGTTGAGAAAAAAGTTGGGTGGGGAATCCCCCCTAACCAACCCAACCTAACCAAACCAACATGCCTGATTGATATGGTTTACTTTAAAATTATGTGAGCTGTCATAGTGACTCTTTCATAAACTAGAATTATTGTGAGCAAGCTCATAAAATGATGCCCACCCTCCTGCTATTTCATTAAATGTTTTTTTTTTCAAAAAAGGTCCAAATATTGATTTAAAACCTTTTAAAAATTTTGCTAGTACAGATATACATACCAAAAATGACTATGACATACATGTATACTCAAGTCATAAGTAGTAAAACCGTTGTATTGAGCACAAACTTCCAATTTCTCTTCATTCGAAGTTAAATATGTAAATGTGCCAAACTCATATAGTACACTTTTACTGCAATGACCTTGAAAAAACTATGTCCTTGAGTCAAGGTCAAACATGTCCAAATGAACTTTGTTCAAGGTCATGACAAACCCACAGCTCAAAAATAATCCCCGAGATGAAACTTCGTCTTTTCATTAGAATGTTACAGAATGGGCAAAGATTGCACTATTCTTCTACCAATGACCTTGAACTTGTTCAAATGACCTTGGTTAAAGTTTTTGACACATCTCTAGATCACAAGCAATCTTAATATCAAGTATGAACTTTCAGTTGCACTTCATTGAAATGTTATTGACAAGGCAAAATGTTACATACATATGGATGGGTGAACAAGGTGATTCCTATCCCCCCCTCCTTTTCCAAGTTTCGTTTGTGAGGAATATAAAATTCCTTTTGAAATTGAATGTGCATTTATTTATTAACAATAGCAATATTATGAGTATGCTCTGATCAGAACCAATATGACCAATATAATGAACACTGTACATGTATTCAAATTACCCCATCCCTTCAAAAAAAGCTTATTATTGCCAGATTTTCACACATTTTAAACCATTTGTAACTTTTTTCTACTAAAGTTGCCTGCAAATTTTATTGTATAGATATGACATATAGATAACCCCTAACAAGATCACATCTTTCATTTTTCCAGCAGTGGTTGTAGATTTTGTGTATATAGTGATAAACATATGTAATTTTCTTCCAAATTTATAAGCATTGACGCCATGTTCTTTTCCCGTTGTCATGGCAACAATATCACTAAAGAAATTTTGATTTTCCTTTTTTTGGAGAATAAAGTAATTCCATCTTTAAACATATAAAGTAACCCAAATACCTTATCTTATCACGTTCAGAAAGCATATTCATAGAAAAATGTCTAAAAATCATTGATTTTCATAAGGATTTATGAACCCGTTGCTAAGGAAATGAATTTCCTTGGATACCAGTCCCTTCATACGTTCGAAAAATTTTTTAATTGTGTTTAAGCATTAGGTAGGACAAAATCTTTCATATACCAAAAGCTTTTGAAAAAATAAAATTTTGACTTTCCATTCAATGCTCGATGCTTGCTGATTTTGACTCTTAAAACGATTTTCTTCTGGCTTATAGATTTATAATTATGTTACACGAGTCAGTTGGATGAAAGTAAAATGGTTTTTAGTTATAATAAATTGTTAGTCCATTAATCAATTGTTGGAAACATATTTCCCCCATTTTGTTGTGTATTGTTACACTTAAAGCCTTCTAAACACATCAGTATTGACATTTTAAAAACACTTTGTGTACACGCAAGTTCAACGTAATTTATTAACAAGCTCTGACAGTGGCCTCTTGTATAGACCCACAAACTGTTTGCCAACCTGTAAATCAGCCGTATATTTATCGATTTCACCTTCCGTTTTGTTTGATTTTCTTATTTGCAGACCACTTTCGGATATTCGAATAAGTATTGAATGATCATTTTACCGTGCACCTTCTGCCATGTTCTGATAGAAAACTGTCAAATCTCAATTTATTCTTGGATTTTACAGAACTGGAGAAGACACCGGGGGGTTCATCTGAAAATATTCGGTGATTCATTTGTTTCTTCCTTCTTGTCAGAGGTCTTTTATTTTTCCTTGTTATGAAGTGGAAGCTATTGTCAAATGATGAACCGAGAACAGAGAAAGCGAATTACCCAAAATATCACCAATCTGAAGGAACGACTGGTAGATCTAGATCCCATCATTGACAGACTGATAGAAAAAGATGTGTTCACCCTGGAACACCGTGAGCGGATAGAACATGTCAGCCCTGCGACTCCACAGAAGAAGTTCAATGAGTTTATCCAGCTTCTGTTGTCCTCTCCGGAACCTAACACGTATTTTGTGTTTCTGGAAGCCTTGACGGAGGAGAGACATCATTACATGGCGGAGAGACTACAGAATACCGTCATCAGCGGTAGGTCAACTCCAAAACGGTTGTCTTATATGCTGCTGAGTGCCTGTTGTAGTATGTACTTCCCAAAATACAAATGAATGAGTGATTTGAATGAAGAATTCGATATATATGGCATAATGATTTTCAATTTCAAATATATATTTGTGCTGTTTTATAATGCATGCTCTAAACAGTCTTTTTTGTAATGGGATTCTATATATTGCATGTAAATTATCGACTAATTTTCAACAGTTTTAGTTTTACAGTAGATAGTTTATGAATAACATTCGCATCAAAACAAAATTCCTTCTAGATCCTGAGTCCTATTACTTTGTAGAATTTAAACTTTGTTTTACACATACAAAATTTGATTAGAAATACAAAGTTTTGCATTTTTAGGGACTTCCCCAGTTCGCAATTCCTACAGCAGGGACCGTTCCCGATCACGCGTCACCTCAGCCATGGTCTGTAAAATACCATTAATGGTTATTATATCAAAACTGTCTACATGTTTATTTGCTTGATTTTGTTCAATCAGTGTATTTACTGATGACTTTCAGAGTAGGAGGTCCTACGATCACTCGGGTGCATCAGGAGCAGCGGGGTTCAATTATGGTGGCGGAGCCGCTGCATTAGAACAAGTGATGTCTCGTCTGCTGTCAGACTTTGGCGGGAAAATAAATTCCAACATTTCCAATACTATACAGAAAATGCGAGCAGAAGACAAACAAGAGATGGAAAAGAGAATGGATGAAAAACTGGCTTCGTTCAAAAAAGAATGGGAAGATGAAAAATCTTCCATGCTAAAGATGAACGAATCTGCTATTAGAAACTTACAAACAAGTGTCGAGAAATTGAGAAGGTCAAATGAAGAATATAACAGACTGTCCGAAAAATATGAGAAACTGAAAGAAATGCAGAAGGAAATGCGCGAAAAAGAGAATGAAAGATGGCAGAGACTGTCACAATCCAATGCAGAGAAAGCACAGCTGAAAATAGCCAATGAAGACTTAAAGACACAACTTCAAAATCTACAAGAGAAAGTAGCCAGTTTGGAGGGCGAGAATAACCGGCTGAAAGAAAAAGACAGTCAGAATCAGATAGATTTAGAACACCTCGCCATAGAAAATAAAACCCTGATCCAGGAACTGGACGAGAAGGACAAAGAACGCCTGTCCCTGAAGAAGGAGGTGGAAATGGCGTACAGTCGCATCAGCGACGTGGTCAAATTCCAGAGGGAAAAATCCGAGCTGGAAGACGTCACCTACAAGAGCGCTCTAGAAAAGCAGTCAGAGAAACTGAACGAAATATTTGAGGTGGTAAATTCAATGAATACCAAAGACAGACCAAGACTATCATCTCGTAGTTTGTACATTGGGGGAAGTGGAATGAAAACTCCGAATAAACCTGAGAAGAAGTGAGACCGGGTGTTTTTGAAAATAACTACATAGAAGGATATCAGACAATATATACATTTCTGAATTATTTCCCTCTCAATACTTTAAAGGTTCGGAATTTGGATAGTACGGAAACAGGTTTAACCAAATATTGATTCAAGAATGAGCAAAATGAAGAATGAAATACTCGTGTATTCACCTTTTTCTGATGACATTTGTAATTAATCTGCATGACTTCAAAATGCAGCGGGGTTCAATTTCATATATTTCAGCGGAATAAATTAACTAATTGAAAAATATTCTTTTAAGTTTATCAGAAAATTCAAAAAATTATTATTAAATATTGTAGTATTTTCACGAAGAGAGCAAATTGTTTTTAAACAAGTGAGTTTGTTCAAAAAAAATGTTTTATAACATTAATAAAATCACCTGCAAAATACATTCATTTATATATATTGTTTCATTTTTCCAGCTTTACTTCTCTCTGTTTCATAGATTGAGATTATTTTGCCACTTTCTTGTAACAGAATTTATAAAATGAAATTTGAACAGATCTATCAATTTACCAAAGGTAAATTCCAGACCTAAATTCATGCATTATTGTCAGTAATGCATGCTTGTTAAATTATTACTCATTGTTCATGCTTTTTAAAGCTATTCACAAAGACCACTTCATATTCTAAGTGAAATTTAAGTATTCCAAGTGTTAAAAGTACGCAATGGTATTTCATCAGCTTTGTTGTGCAACAACCTTCTAGATAGTGATTATTTAAAAAAAAATAGGCTTCAGGTATACCGGTATACATTTATGAATGAAAAATATCTTTAAGCATTGTTCTGAATATTACTTTTTTTTGGAAGTACATATACATGTATAATGATAGACATTTCTGTAAAAGAATCCAGAATAATTCTAATTAAGCAAAGTAATGCGGTATATAGCTAGTTTATTATATGAGATAATATGATATAAACATTTTTCCAGTAAATAACAACAGAAATTCTGATCATCCCTTACATGAGATTTAGTTTTCCTAACTCTATCGATAAATTTGATTGTTCCTCATTATACTTTTTCCTTTTATATTGTCTATGCCTAAGGTTGTTGTATCATATTAGACTGATTGGATACAGACTGCAATCTATTTACATGTATTTATTTTAAAATCTACCACTGATATTTATTTTGTTAATCTAAAATGTGGTATTGATTCATTAAATAAACATATAATAAAGAATAACAGAATAACTATTAATTCTTTGTTTACTAAAAAAGTTTCAATGCTAACGAGAAAATAATTGTAAATATAATTTTAAAGAAAATCATCGATAAAACTTCAAATGAATGATGTCCATTTACAAAAAGTTTTAAGAACTTATAAAGGAAGAATTTGAAATGAAATTGCGAAATTTAAGAAAATCAAAACAAAACGGATTGCAATCTTTGTAATTTGATACTCTTTTAGAGAATGGCTGTATTATGGTCTAGCTGTTCCGTTGTAAAATTCTTTCAGTTGAATAATAAAAGTTGACTTAAGACTATTCGCTTATAATGACTCATATGCATTACACTACTGAGAGGCAAAACTTGCACAAGTGTGTACATATTGAATTATTCCAAAAGATCCAAAAAAAAATGGAAATGAAATAACTTCTAAAAAAAAAAAAGAACCATGAATAAGGAGGAGAAGAAGCGAATCCGGCAGAACCTGACGTATCTAAAGGAGCGTCTCACAGACCTAGACGGCATCATCGATATCCTCATTGAGAAAGACGTATTTGCATTTGAGGACATGGAAAAAATAGAACAGGTTACGCCACCTACCTCCCAGAAAAAGTTCAACAAGTTTGTACAGCTTTTGCTGCACGCTCCTTCTGGGGATGCCTACGCTGTGTTCTTGGATGCGTTGCGACAAGAGAGACACTTCTTTATCGTGGAAAAACTGCAAAATACCGTATTAGGTGGTAAGTATTTCAACGAAATTTTAATTAAAAAACTTTTCATTGATACAAATATAAAATTGTTATACATTAAAGAAATTGATGCTTTGTTTTTTTTTTCTTTATACATTTATAAAGTCTCATCGCCAACAAAGAATGTCATCTTTAAAGACAACCGAAGGCTAAGTTCAAATTGTTCTTCCTCACCTCAAGTAAGTCCAAGTATAAAAGTAATCTGTATGGAATGGGGAAAAGTAATTTAAAATTGTATATCTTTAATACATGTATATGAAATACAACTATGCAGTATATTAATGGTTTGGACCGTGGATATCGACCTGACCAGTGATGCAGGGATCCCTGGTTGGATTTATGGTCCAGCCATACTTTTTTCTGCTTTTCCTGTTAATAATTTGTGTCATTGACAACCTACAGACTTGGTGGTAAAATACATTGAAAAATTCTACTTAAAACTTAAGATGAAGTATACGTTGTTTGCCACAGTGTTAATTACATTCATTTAATTTACAGAGAATGAAACCTACTAGTATTAGAAATGTCGAAACACCCCACAGAAAAATAACAAGTATGGGACAAACAGATGTTGCGGATCAATTCAGTGATTTTTCTTCATTCAGCGAATGCCTTGAGATTAGGATAGGAGATCTACTGCAAAAAGTACGGTCTGAGGAAAAACTTGAAATCGAAAATCTTATTGATAAAAAACTTGATAAATTCTTGAAAGTTTTTGACTATGAGAAGGTACAGACTGCAATATTCAAGTTGGAAAAGAAAATCGAAGATGTAATGGACTCTAATGAAAATCACAGAATGGCTGAAAAATATAAAAAACTGAAAGAATCCGTGAAAGAAAACGAAGAGAAGAAGTGGGAAAAATTAACAGCCGCCAATATAGAAAAACAAAAATGGAAGACAGCTCACGATAAAATCAGAAAGGAGATGGAGGATCTAAATGAACGTATCAATGAGTTGGAATCTGAAAACAGAGATCTTAAAGAAGAGCTCAAAACGAAGAATGAATCAGTTTCCGGCCTAAAATTCGAGCTGGACGGATCTCGTGGACGACTGGAGGAATTAGTTTCCAAGAACAACAAGGAGTACAGAGCCCTGAAGAAGACAATAGAAAGACACATTGAAATACTGAATGCTTCCTTGTCGGCTGCAAAAATATCTTTGGTCCCAGACCAATGGCAGAGAAATCCATCACAGATTTGATACATTTCAAATACATACAATTATGACAACAATGATTTCTACAACTAAGAAACATTCGTTCTAAATCAAAAAGAAGTACAACTGAAGTTTCTTATACCTAAGACGATAGGTAAAGAGTCTTCATGTTTTTCTATCATACTATTAAAAACTGGAATGCATTTAAACTAGAAATCAAGAAAATGACTACCAAACAAAAATTTATGAAAAAATGTGACACTTTTTTTAAAATCTACAAATGCAATAGATTAATTATCATGGGTTGTATAATTTTATTTTTCAGAAGCATTACTGTGATAAATTTCAGGTATAAACGAGTAACTTAACTAATTAGGAATCATGTCATTTTTCAAAACATTGTTCTATATTTAATAAAGAAAGGAAATGTTTTTTTTTTTGGGTTCTTTTGTTGTTTTTATATTAAAGTTTGTACATTTTTACATTAAAAGTTTAAAACATACCGGTATCAATTTAAACTTAACTATTATAACAATCTACATGTATAAGCCAATATTCACTATTTCATCCCTCAAACATCGTAGACTGATGCTTAATCAACAACCGATTATGTTAAATCAACTAATTTTTAAAATCATTTACTTTGTTTATTCTAGAGTTGCATGTAGCAAAAATTATTTTGCAATTAGTTTGAGGTTTCATGTAGGATTGATTTGTCTCTGCACATATTAACGCTAGTGTCATTACATACAGACGGACGATAATATGTGCAGGGAGGGCACAGGAACAATATTTGTCCATTACATCGATATGTACAGCATGTACAGGGTGATAAAAATTTACATTTTTTTATATCAACAACTTGCTGGACGTTTCCACAAGACAATTCTATAAAACAGATTTGCAACCAGACAATATTTAGCAAGTTTAAAGTTTTGCTTCCTAATATATCCCAAAACATGCTAAAACAAATGTTCTACCTAACAATTCAGAGATGGGGAGATTGACCTTTGGTTTGATAAGATTAATCTTTTATCTTTTCCCTCTCCCTATATCAGAGTATCAGTCACTATCTTTAGCATGTCGTACTGTTTATAACATGTCGTATATCGGCTTCTCACACATACCCGTATAAAATAAAAGATGCACTGAATAAGGTATGTATATGTTTTACACTGTTTATATCTATATATTCTAACGGATTAGCAATGTTTACATCATTAAATCTACTATACAAATGACTTAGCAGGTCCTAGTTATTACATTATGTAATTTAAAATTAAGTACATATACAGGTAGGTACAGATACTATTGTAAATATTCTCTTTTTCTTTATGAAGATTAGACTATTTAAAATAAGATTCTCCAGTCAAAATGGGAATTTGACGTGATTCTTCTTAAGAGTAAATGTTCTTAAAGTTTTTAATGAATACATGGTAAAGAGGCTGGTCATATGTACAAAGATTATATAAGTAGGTAATGGCAAAGGTAAAAATATGTGCTGTACTTACATGCACTTTTATAGTTGATTTAAAAGAATACAGATTTATTATTTAATAAAATTGTATCAAGATGGACATTTAATTCTATAAATAATGAGACCATCAATTCAGTAATTCAATGAACGCGGTTCTCCTTGTATTTTGAGTAAATACACATGAAGTATAAATTCTTTGTAACCATGATTTGACCAAAAATGAATCTAGAGTATTTGATAAATTTTCCATATAAATTACAAATCACATAGTTCTTCAGTGTCTGTCTGTGAGAAGGATATACCATGTGTTTAAAGACATTCCTTTCCAGAGGGACAGATTCTCAGAAATTCTGTTCTGATGCATGGCCACTGGAAGTTTATAAATGAAAATACTCAATAAATGTACAGTGCCCATGTTCATGGTGAGCTAAAAGAGTGAAGCATGTAGTCTAACTGTATGTGACGGTGTGAATATATAATCACAAACCAATTCAAATCTTATAATATGATTACTACTGTTCTTTTTATTTTTACATGGAAAGATGTATTTTTTTTAACAGGGTGAGGATCTACAGGAATGTCACCAGTGATATTTGTATATTCATCGTTGATTTTTTTAGTGTGCGTTAATTGTGTGTATACCAGTACTCAAACCAGTAAGTAAGCTGTGTCATCATGTATTAAGTGTCTTTGAACGGAAAACCCATTCATAACTTATTGTCAAAATGCTGTGAAATACCTTTAATTCATAGATAATATAAATGCTTTTTTATTATTTGGTTTTTCGTGTTTTAATCTTCAAAACTTTGAGCTTCAAATTTATGCTTTATTGCTTTATTGTTTTGCCAAACTGGTGAGCATATACGTATACAGCGTTGAATGCTTAACTTTCTTACTGCATTATACTGTGTTCTATCAAACCCAGCAATACTTTCTTATTCATGATTTTTCCTTCAGTTGATGTGGATAAGAACGAGTGTGAGTACTACACGTCGTATAAGCTCAATCAGTTTAATACGTATGAGATCGTGTGGCATGGCTACGCCATCAAGGGGTGTGGGGTGGGCTTCTACGCCGAGGGGGACAACATCTTCTCCTTTGATGATTATAAGATCTGTGTTCAACCCATCGTCTGGAGAATGTTAGACTGCTCCTCTAAGCTCTACCTGAAATATAACGATGTCAAGGTACATGTATGTTTAAAGTTTTATCAAAATAATGTCAAAATGCACTTGGTTACGGAAAGCATTGAATTTTAATAAGTATTCTTATAAACTGAATGTAGTTTTAATTTCATCCAAGAAAAGCAAGATTAGATTTAGAATTCCTCAACTTTGCTAACACTGTGTTATGTCTTTTATCGCGGAATTGCAAACATTTTACATGATTATTATAAAAATGTGTTTTTTTTATGGGATAGGCAATTATATTTTTAATGCAAACAATAACCAATTGCAATTGCATTTTTAAAAAAAATTCTTTAGTTAAAATTATTCACAGTTTGCTTTATATGTACATGTAAAGAATACCAACCTTTATTATCCGAATAAAAAACACCATCCTTAAAAAACTAATACAGTAACTGCTATGATACCATTTTAAAATGTTTAAAAGAATAATATATATTCGGTCTTTCTGAGTAAAGCTGTAAAGAAGTGTGCAACTAGATGGTTTGAAATCATATATTTAAAAGTATTCCTCCTTCCCACGCTGAATTCATGATTGGAATTTAAATTTAAGGTAAAAACTTTTTAGAGTGTAGTTTGCAATGAAAGAGTCCCGCAGACCCACTGCAATGAAGCAAACATGAATCTAGATATAGAGGTTAAGATGCATGATCTGAACGCCTGGAGAGTGAATACCACCAGCTTTACGTTGAAAGTATACGCTAAAAATACCACATATTGTAAGTATAGCATCACCCCAAGCTTTAGGTAGACCATCATTAACGGTGAAATATTCATGAAAAATTTAAGCCAAAATACCATTGTGATAATTCTCTATGAGGGATTTTTTGTAATTGTATGTAAAAAGGTTTTATTATACATATTGAATTACAAAATGAATACCCATTGACTTTTGTGGTATTGATTTGTTTTTAGATGGAATAGGACTGTTGGCGGCTTGTGTGTTACTATGGGTCCTCATCGTGGCTATGTGTACGATAGTCAGAAGACGTCGTTCTATCAGACGACACAGTCGAGGGTCATCTACCTTATATAGTCTGTCAGGTATGGCAGTGTAATCCAAAAATAGAATAACTCTGATAGTTGTTTTCATCGATGCATATTTGTTTAAAAAATAAAATTCATTTTGTTCTTAATTTGCTAAAAATATTCATAGATCACGTGACTAGGTAAGTATAAATACATTGGGTCATACGCATTCTTTATCGACTCTCGCTATAACCTCGATACATGTATATTCACGCTGAAGAATGAAATTTCAGGAAAAGATTTTATTGTCTGTTCAAATATCGATTTATGCATGTTTACTTAAGGTCTTCAATCCCTAATAGGAAGAAATTCAATGAAATTGAAAACATAACAGATATGTCGGCATTGAATACTCAGTTTATTTAGACATACTTCCCATTTATTACTATAAGTATGTATAGTGGGATGTGTCCTAATTCATGACCTTGAATTTTGGTAAGAGTTATCTCCCCTTTTTTTAATTGATGAAAAAAATCAATAAAAAAAATTTTAGCCGGTCAAATTTATCAGTTTATTTTCTAGTCTTTTATTGAAAAGAACCCTCGGATTGTACATGCTTTGAATTTGTAAAAAGGATAGTTGTAGATGTTATGTTAAAGTTAAGATCGTGATTGATGTTTGTAGGTATTGACAACATAAATTATACAACATCAGAAGGTCCCTGTCCGCCGCCATATACACCACGTGACGACCATCCCTTACCGCCTTACTCTACAGAAGATCCTCACAAGGGAGATAATTCTATTTCACACATGTAGATCTCACCTACCAATGTTTATATTTGATCTATGTTTATTTATTAAATCGTTCTTTTTACTTTGTTACAGTATTGATGATTTTTAGACGTATGAATATAACAGGACTTTTGAGTGGGTGGGGCTATTGCTTTCGTATTTCACAGGTATATTCCTTGTGACAAGGTCTTTCTTTGACCTCTTGGTGTTTGACCCACTTTACCCCCCCCCCCCAAAGAAAATCACACTTTTAACCTTGATCATAACTTTTGAACAATTGTTTATACTTCAATGTGTATTCATTGTAATAAGACCTTTCCTAGGGTATAATTATTTTTGAACTTTTGACCTTGACCTTAATGTTTGACCCACATTCCAAATTTTTACACTTGGCCATTACTTTTGAGAACAAGGGCTTTCATATTTCGAGTTCACATATATTTGAGAAAATTCAACCCTCGCCATAAGCTGTCTTCAAGAAAATCCAAGTTCATACAATACTCACTTTCATATAAAATTAAGTTCAGTATTCAACAGAAAAATTCTTGTGAAATTTTCAAAGTCAAGGAATCAGTAACACAGAAGATAGAGCATAGATGGGAAATATGGGTCCTAATATTGTTTGGTACTTAAATTCTGTCTTAATTAACACAATCCTAGCAGTATAACAGTACATACCCGAATATACCAACATAAAATCGTACATTTTGATATTTAAAAAAAAATCTTTAAAAAATAACAGAATAACAAAATAGTCATAAAACTGCTATGTACAAATGCAAACACTTTTCATCCATTTTGAGCACAAAAATCAAAAGGTAAACATGTGCAAGTACTATTACATGTACTGAACAAACTCGATATGTAAACATGCACAAGTACTACTGGTATGAAATGTACTGAACAAAATTACTGCAGATGGCATTTTACAATTTTGAAATTAAACCAATCGATATAAAATGAAGCATTGTAAATTTTATTAAAGCAAGTTTTTTTTTTTTTAAAAATGATACAGTACAGGGAGAATTTTTTTCATCAATATTAGAAAGGTTAGAAATTTTAAAGCTATTAGCATATAAAATGTGTAAAGAAATGGGTATAACAAAATAAAACATCGTCCAGCAATTAATATGCAATACAAAAAAGATCTCCAACACAACTTGCACCAACGGTGGCGGAATAGTCCAGTGAAACCTAGAGAATACTTTTCAGGAATACTTTCCAGTTCAGGAATACTTTTCAGGAATAAAATGTCAATGAAGTTATATCATTTCTGAGACATCTATTTCATATTTAGATAACATACTAGAAAAACACGTGATAGGTATTCTCACTACAAATCTTTATGATGAACATGATGACTTCAACTTTTCAATCTTCAACTCACCTTACCTTTGAAACAATACCATTTTCACCTGTATTAATTTTGGGGTTTTTGTTCGATACATAGGAGCATACTCTACATGTGAACAGTTTCTAAAACGATGCAAGCTATTAAGAAACAAGTTGATGATATGAAGTCATTATTTCATAGCAAGTTTTTCGTCCATACTCAATGACCTTGTCACCAAGTATAACCTATTATTAAGTCCATTATTTATATGTTAAATTATCAGCATTTTTTTTAAATTTTCGTTTGATCATGATTGACAAGGAGCACAAGGCGGATGTGACCGGTCGGCAGGGAGAGGGATGCTCACTTCTCCACTCCACCTGATCCCACCTCTGATGTTTTAGAAGTCCTTGTTTGCTATGGTCCTGATTCGTTTTGTTGGAATGGACTTTTGAGCTTGATAACTGTTCTTCATTTTCATATTTTTCATTTTCTATACCAGAAAATTAAATCAAGGTTAAGGCTAGGGTCAGGGATAAGTTTAGGGTTAGGAATTCTATTTAGACGGGAACAATATATAACAAAAGTTGTACATAAAACCTTTACTTAATTTTCAATGACAAAATGGGAACACGTTACGTTCCCCCAAATATTTTAATATCATGATTCTTACTGAATGTTAAACTAACTGTTTTTTAATGTAATACATACATGTATCTTTTAGTATACTACATGTATTTTGTAGGCCTAATTAATATATATATATATATATTCTCCTCAGCAAATTATTTGTATGTGAATTGATTTAAATGACAATGATTTTAACGCCAAGAATATTACTGCATGGATCAAAATAATGAAAATACAGGTATGAGGCCAACAAAAAAGGATGAATTCTTCATGAAGAACTTTCTGGTACCTCTTCAATGATTTTAACAGCATAACCATATGCTACTATAATCAGGTGAATGGTCCACTTAATTGTACTTGTACGCTACTTGAGTCGACAGCTTTGAGATACTGTTTTCTATATAATATCTGAGGAGTGCTGGGTTTCCTGGTCAGAGACCTCTCAACATGTCTCCGATCCTCCCCCTGGTTCTATGTGTAGGGCTGACTCTGTACCGAGAGAGCGCAGGCCACTTTATTCAAAAAAGGTAACCTCCAAGTAATGTCTGTTATTTTAACTATTTATCATTACAACGTCGACGTTGATAAAGATAAAAGTAATTTACATATGTTGGTAGATCTATAGCTACATGTATTTTCTACTTTTCAATTTTTGTTTCGATGTTTGAAAAGTGCGGAAATCTTTTGGCATTTATAGACTAGTAGTTAAAAACACTGTTGAATACCGGTTATAATCAAAATGAATCAGAAAAAAATGATGAATAAAACAAACTTAATCTAAAAATGACTTTTTAAAGAAAACAATTCATTCATGATCCTCCTCCAAAAAAGTTGATTTTGAACATAGGATTGTTCTGTAATGCACTTGAAAATATTTTATTCTTTTAAATATACTTCATATTTTTTATATTTAATATAATTTGTAGAAGTTGCAATATCCATAATGGTATGTATTACTACCAATGCGCAAGCTACCATCAGGTAAAATACTATATCTATGAATCCTGTGGACTATTTGGCTGGGCAAGATGTCGTCGGTCAAGGTAGACTGATTACGTTCGTTAAGATTTTTTTTATCTGGAAAAAAGAAGAGAAGTTTTTTTTTTTTTGAAATTTAAATGCAAAATTAAAAATGAATATACTAGTTAATATAAATTGAGGAAATTATTTTTTTTTATGATGCAGCTCACCATATACATTTGTATACTATTCAAACCCTTACATAAAATTTACAAATCCATAATTTCAAAATTTCTGAAATGGAATCATAAAATCTGAGATCGTTCTGAAAGAAAAAAAATATTCAGAAGCTTAAGAAAGTTACGCTTTATGATGCCATTTTCAAAAGTCTTTTGTCAGGTTGTCTGTCACTTTTTATACTCTACATGTATCATAGCTCTATTCTGTACTCACGCAATATTTGCCTAGATCTTAATATCTTTGGACTTTATTTGAAATAGCTCACTAAATATAAATATGGATTGAAAACATCATTATCAATTACTTTGGTTTTGAATATATTTTTAATCCCAGGTACAGAGCTGATGCTAGTTATGCAACATGTACACGACACTGTTCGGGTAAAAAAAAGAAGAGTTTTTTTTTTTTAAAACTTGCATAATATATAAATTAGTAATTTTACATTTATTTAAATCATCAATATTCCATATATACGTATATACATGTAATTATAGTTGGTTTAATTAAACGTACAAATTTGTTTGTGTGCTAGTCAACGGTGAATGGAATTCTTGGCATCCATGGGCTGTATGGGGGTCTTGTGACCAAAATTGTGGCGGTGGTACCCGTGAGCGGTATGCTATTCGTTATTGTAATAACCCAACACCGAAAAACGGAGGAAAACCGTGCCCAGGATCTAATATCAGGAACCAAAAGGAAAAGTGTAACATTCACCCGTGTCCAAGTACGTGTAACAATTTTCAAAAAAAAAAACCAAACAAACAAACAAACAAACCATCATTGACATCAAATATCAGTATATATAGTTTCTATACATTTTGTATTTTCAACATTTTAACAACAAGTAATATGTTGAATGTGATATAGGAGATGGTGGCTGGAGTTCTTGGGCTCCCTGGGCAGAATGGGGGTCATGTGACAAAACTTGTGGAAAAGGGATTCAAACCCGGAGAAGTAGACGACGGTGTGATAATCCCACTCCCAAATACGGCGGAGTGAATTGTCCCGGGTCAGTGGTCAAAAGTGAGACTAAAACATGCCTTATCCGAGGATGTTTAGGTATGTTCTACTCAAAACTTCAAATATTTGCAATAAAAATGTTGTATGTAAACCAAATATTAAAACACATTTTGTGAATATTTTCAATCGACTGCATGATTCCCTGTCGTAGCTAAAATACTTATGACGAGTTTCAAAATTCTCTCTCTCTCTCTCTCGTAGTTCAGCGCGTTTTTTAATCGAAAAGTAAAAGGTGATATTTTAAGAGAAGAGGAAAAGAGTTATTTAGCCAAAATTTGAAAACATAATTACATGTATTAACACAAGAATTTCTACATAAATATGTTTATATTAATACACATAAGAGGAATTTGAAAACCATTCAAAAAGAGTCCCAAGACTTTTTTCTTTGTTTTGACCTTTTCTCTGACGTCACATGGTAACCTTATTTTAAGCTGAAAGCGAGGGATCTCTTCACTGATATTCAGTGGTATTTTCTGACATTCAGTATTTTATTTTATAAACAGTGAACGGTGGATGGAGTAACTATGGCCCCTGGAGTACATTCAGTAAATGTACAAAGACGTGTGACGGCGGTGGAAAGACGAAATATAGATACAGGGAATGTAACAATCCTAAACCACAACATAGCGGACGAAGCTGTCCAGGGGAATCAATCCTAGCGGAACATCAACCATGCAACACCGATCCTTGTCGAGGTAAATATGTAGAATGAAACATATGGGGATAACGAACAGTATTCAAGATAAAAAGTCCAAAAACCATACAAAATAGGAGCAGAGCAAACACCGATCTCCAAAACATCAGAGGTGGGATCAGGTGCCTTGGAGGAGTCAGCATACCCTGCCTACCGGTCACACCCTCCGTGTGCTCCTTGTCATGATAGGGCAATAACGGAAAAATCCGTCGTCGTCAATTCAGTGTGTAAATAATGGATTTAAAATTAGTATGAAAAACGTCATTCAGCATTTGGCTCAATGAAAAATTGTATTTGCTTTCAAAGTCATTCTATCGACCACAGAACTTACGAAATGATGACTTTAAACGAGACTGTTGATATTCTTGTTTCATCAACTTGTTTGCCAATAATTAACCTCGTTTTAGAAATCGTTCATACATAGAGCATGCTGTTGCGTATCGAATCAGCTGAGATATATAAACTCCGTATGCAGGTGATGAAGGTATATTGTTGCATAAGTAAGGGAAGTTGACGAAAGAAAAGTTAAAGTCATCCTGTTTTATCATAGAGCTTGGTTGTTAGATAACCATTAACGTCTTTTTCAAGTAAAACATCCAAATATGAAACAGATGAGTCAGACTCTGAGGTATCTTTTTAACTCAAGCTTACCAGGATATATCGTAGCGACATATGAATGGAAATTACCATTGTTAATTGACAATACTTCGTCGATATATCTAAATGCCGAGTTGAAGGCCACGGCAAGTGTTTGTTGTTTTTTTTTTTGCACAAATTCTGCTTCACGGGAATACAAAACTAAGTCTGCTAATAACGGGGTGCAATTGGTATGCATAGGAATTTCAATAGATTGCTGGAAGATCTGGTCTCCAAACACAACATAGATATTGTCAATCAGAAACTCTCTCTCTCTTTATCTCTCTCTCTCTGTGTCTCTCTTTTTTAACAAAATATTTTTGCAAATGACCAATGACAAGGTAAGTAAATCTGCGAGTCCCATTTTTATTGAAAAAGCAGCTGTCAAAGATATCGAAAAGCCTGGATTTTAATTTATCGTGGGGGATGGTTGTGTATAAAGTTGAAAAGTCAGGTTTTTAAGCTGTTGATGTTGGTAAAATATTATATCAAACTGTCTAAAAGTTCCTTTGAATTTTTAAGTATCCACATTTGATTTACACCATTTCTTGAGTATATTGTTGCACAGTACTCTTGAAGTTTCCAATTTACCAATTTACCAATTTATTTATAGAGTCAATGTTTATCATAGGCGTAGTTACAACTTCAAAGTTAGGGTGAAGTGGAGGTAATGTGTCTCCCAGTATGGCGTCAAATTTTTTTAGCAATATAAAAACGTATTTAACAAAATACACTACGAGTATAAAATATAAAAATATTATATGGCCATCTTAGTCGAAGCTCAAGTGAGCTTTTCTGAACACAATTTGTCTCTCATCCATCTGTCCGTCTGTAGACTTTTAACATTTTTGACTTCTTCTCAAGAACCTATGAGCCATTATCAAACCAAACTTGCTACAAAGAATCCGTGGGTAAAAGGGGTTCATGTTTTTTGTAAAAGGTCATGCCTTCTTCCAATGGGAAATAATTGCATGATGGTGAAAAACAAATGGCATATTTTAAACAATACCCATAAAATCATGAAACCCAAGGGAAACCTCGACAATCAAAGTTCTACAAAGGAATATAGAGAAAAATATTCTCAAGAATCATGATTTTTGACACTTTGACACCGACTTTATGTTACCTTTGATGAATACATTTGAATGACGTCGACATATATATGATAGGAAGTTCATACGTGACACAATACGCCTTAAATAATGACATTTCATCCACTAAGAGAACGAAAACGGAGGACCAAGATTATTAACATTTGCTTGCTTAATCTTTTTGTCAGTTGTGTTTTGAGGATGAAATAAAAATATAGCTGTGTGTAATACAAATAATAATGAAAATTTGATTGACAACGCGCAATCGATTATTGTTGGTAACTTTCACCTTTTACTTATATATTCTGCAGGGAACTTGGAAAAAACTACGGCATCAATCATAACTAAAGAAAACGTTGATTTATCTAACAAAACTGAAAACGGAAGCTCTGACCACAAAGAAAATGGGTTAGATGCTTCTGATCCTGGTAACGACTCGGTTAATGGAAATGCGACATCCACAAGCGAAAATTCTCAGAACAACAACAGCAGTTCTGAGATCGAGGTGACCACATCTAGTACGACAACTACATCAGAGAAAACAACAACTACCACAGAAAAAAACAACAGGAATGACAACAAACTCTGACAACTGAACGCAGGAGTACAGCATGTCATTTTATCTGGACGCTCAGCTGTAGAAATAAATATCTGAGATTTTGTGTTTTTGTATTTTTTAAAAAAATACGTGTTTTTTCTTAAATTTTACTAAACTAGCATATATAGTTTGCTCCATGAGCTTTTGAGCAGATTTTGGTCTAGTCTTTTATTTCTAGAATTCTGCATTATTTAAGTTCTAACATTAAATCTGGATTCTACAACTAAACTATATCCAATGAAAAAAATCGCGATTAAATTCAATTAAAAAAGGATTAAGCCAGGAACTACATTATGTGGTGGAAGGTTTTTTTAATGAAGAAAACGATCAATTTTCCCCCTAAACTGTGAAGTTTAGATTCCTATTTTTTCATATTAGTTGCACATAGAGTTTTGTTTTCATTGAAACGTTATATGCTGGTTCTGAAATATATGTTTTATTATTTCTTATGAATTCTTTTATCATATTGCGACAAACACAGTAAATATATTCTAAAAGTCCAGGGAAAAATTGAGCCAATTTTAGCATAAAATTGGCACCTGTTTAGTAATATCTAAAAAATTACAGCATACACCCCACTTTTGTTTTTCTTTTCTGAATATATAACTTAACTTTGATCAATCTACTTTAATTCAGCAAAAGTTTAAGACTTTAAAATATTTTCTTGCTTGTTAAATTTTTAATGCCAGAAAAATCAGATTTTGTGAGTGCAGAAAGGTCAAATACTTGATTATGCGAAGCAATTTGACACTTTTTCTGAGTCATAATTTTAAAGTTTTTTTAAAAAAATAGGCTAATAGTTTATGTAGTTCAATGATTTATTAGGACATAATATTGGGGGGAAAACAAGATGTGATTTTTTTTTCATTAAGACTCAAATTTCAATGCAAAAAAAGTCATATTAAAGTACTGTGGCACTAAAAGAAGCATATTGACCCCATTTTTAGTTTTTATTTTTAATTAGGCTATATGTGTACAAACGAAAAATATACTTGACACGAAAGTTTAAGACTTTGAATATCGGGATCCAACTTCGTTAATGCAGCAACCTCGTGTTATTTAAATCTATTAGGCTACATTTTTGAAATCTAGGTTTACAATTTTATTTTTATTTCCACGAAATTGAAATATAAGGAATCACTGTCTAGTTAGTAGAGTATACCAGGGTCATTAACAATGGTTGGAAACGTGGGATAAATTATGCATAATGGGCAAAGCCCAGCTATCGTTGATGCCCTGGCATACTCAACTATCTAAACAGTGATTCCGTAAATGAATGGCATCAAAAAATTATTAGATCAGAAACACACGTCAAACCTGTACAGCTGCAATAAATATTTCACTGTAGAATCTAAAACTTATTTAGACCATATCGATGTGTCATTTTTAAGACGTCTAAACAGTGTGTATTTCCTGAAAAAGCTGATAAATATACGCATCCGCTTATATAGCCAAATGGAACTGTTCCAAAGAACTCTCCACAACATTTACACTCCTTGATTCTACTGATAAAGGAATGAAATAGACAACTGATTTTGTTATTTTAAATTCATAAAAATTAATCAATATATTTAACAAAGTTATAAATAACTAAAGGGTATTTTAATCCAAAGAAACTGATATTGTCTGCATTTCATGCAATCGATACGCAATAAAAAATGACTATGGAACAGCGAAATCGCAATATGGTTACCTAATTCGTTTATTATAGAGGAAACAATCGTCCGTATTTTATAGCACTTGGTAGAATAGAATTACAGTCCTTGATGTCGTGAATGATGCAGGATAACCTCCTCGGTTTCAAAATGTCTGAAATATAAAAGCCGATGCTTATATTTCAGACAACATTTCGAGCCAAACACATTCACGATAACAAGGTCTTTATTTCTGGAATATTATTTTCAATTCTTTCATGTAAATTAGTTGAATTTGATTCGCCGAGAAACTTTGTTAAAATACACTGTAACCCGCTGAATGATGAAGCCACACCCTCCAGCGTAACAATAGGCGATGTTGCTTGACGATAAAAATATATTATATAAATATTGCATGTAGTTGAGTGTAACATTGAAAATTTTCACCCCAAGAAAACCATTGTCAACCGAGGCGCAGCCGAGGTTAACAAGAGTTTTCGAGGGGTGAAAATTTTCAATGTTACACTCAACTACATGCTATATTTATTATACTGAATGTTTTATACAAATACATATAACAGTGAACCGTGCGCGCATCAATTCTGCGCAGTTGCTATTTTTTGGAATATCATCCGTGGTCAAGCACTGTTGACTGTTGCTACGCTGGAGGGCGTGGCTTCATTATTCAGCGGGTAATAGTAAGCAAATGTTTCTCGACCAATCAGATTCAACTAATTTACATGAAAGTATAATATTTCAAAATAGTGACTGCGCGGAATTTATGTGCACAGCACAAGATCGTTGAATCGCAAAAGCCAAAATAAAATGTTTTTCATCCTCGATATTAAATAGAATTTAAAATCACGTTAATCATTTTTGATATTTTATAAAATTTAGCTCACTACTGTACAAAGATTTAATAATGATACAGATATACTTACCGTAAGGAAGGGATTCTGGTTATGGCAATTTTCTAGCTGACGTTTCATTAAATGTAACAGATTTAAATGAAAGGTTGTAATTTACAGACACTCTCATAATGAAATATACATGAATGTGTAACTTTTTGCAAACTCTTGATTATAACAAAAGCACCCACGTTATGTAATATTGACAGAGGATATTATAAATTTGCAGATAATTGGTTCTAAGTTATTTTGAATTGCATGTGGGTATGCTTATACAGTAGTGATAGATTTAAAACGGTCTGTCGATGTCTTTATATAAACTACATCTAAATGTACACGTACACACAACCAGATATGAAAATGAAGCTGTTGTTCGTCTTTGTAATTTTTGGCTGCCAGATTTATGTGGAGGGAAGGTAACATATATTTTTATGGTTGATTAGGCCTTTTTGTACATGTTATGGTATATTTTGATGTAAATGATAATGACGACGATGATTATAATAATGATTTTTAAAACAACAGTCACTTAATATTAAGTAATAATTTAAAATAACTTTAAAAAAATACATTCCAACTAATTAAAGAGTATTTATTTCACACTTGGAAAACCACAGAAATTGTCAATCAAGACTTAGATTTCATTTCAGGTAATTGCTCTGCAGAATAGCTCTCCAAGGGTTAAATGATATAAGGATATAATTTTTCCATAAGAATATACAAGACAACTCATGATATTATGCCAAAGTTTAGATATGACCAAATTTTTACAAGCTTAAAGGGGGAGGAAATAAGCACCTCCCTCAAATTTACTTAGTCTTAGAACCCCTGTCAATCATCTGAAATTAAGCCTGCGATTGCATACTTTGATTTGATTGACTTTTAGTTTGTGTATATCTTGTGTACCTTGTCTGAAGTTCGTACCGACCATCGAATTAACATTCAGGCTTTTGATGCCTACCGCATATGCCAACGTGATAAAGAAGCTGGCAAAGCGTTCTTGTTTAATTCATAAGAATAATGGCATAAATATAAATAATCCATCAAATAATTAAATAAATGATAAAAAAAAAAGTAATGCCTATATTTTATAATTTCAATTTTTCAATTACAATCGATCATTTTAATTTCTTAAAGCATGGGTTAACGCATATTTATTCCTCCATAATTAACACAATAAACCGACCCGCGTTTGAAGCTAGTATCATGGAATTAAATGAAATTATTTTTTAAAACAAGAATGGCAACATTGTAACTGTTTACATTGTTCAGGAGTCAAGTGAAATTTATATTTATTTATAAGACAAATTTGTACATGTCGCTAATTCTTCGAGACATGGTGAGGAAGTTACGTTATATTTAACCAGTTTTAGAAGAGATGGTAATAACATCTTGCTTTGCATTTAATTAATATTTGAAATTATGAACCCCGAAAGAAAAATGTATGATGCTGATGTTTCCATTCCCGTTTCACCCACAGGCCTAGCTGTCAGGGAATCTTCTCTGATCTGAACCCCTGGCCATTTTTACAGACCATGCGTTATGGTAAATAATGTAGGGTTTATCTTTAAAAAAAATATTGATTTAGACGATAATATTTCTGAGCAATTTATTCTCAGAACATGGTTCTAAGTTTAATTGTTATTTACCGAGAGACTTAATTATGACCCACTTTCTCTTTTCGTTTTGCGCACACAACATGTAATTTGAATTACTTCCCTTTTTGTCGCCAGGTTATAACGACAGATTTTTGTGCTACATGTATTACCGTTATAACATTTGATTAACAAACACGCAGTGATATTGTCAAATTATTTAAAATATTAATTTTAAAAGAAAAAATTTTAGAAGGATTCTGTCCGCAAAAAAAATGCTTTATTTCATGCATTTCAATACACATGAAAAAAAAAACGGCTTCGTTTTACAATGTCGTAGGAAAACGCATACTGGTAATACCCCCCCCCCCCCCCCCGTAAATCTGGAAATTTTTGCTGTAGATAAATTTTTAACAAAATTTGCGAGTGCATTGCCTTCGCAAAAATATTTTTCTTAAGAATAGATCACCAATAAGAAAATGTAAACAAACCAGTGGTCATTCGCAAAATTTTGAAACGTAAAAATTAATCAACAGCATTTTGACCCGAATTCGCAAAATAAAATCGACGTAAAAATTTCCAGGTTTACGGTAACCCACTCAGGTAACATCCTGTGTATATAGGTAGTATACACAAGTTAGCGTCGTTCCCTCGGGGCTTCTCAGCCGCTTCGATTAAGCTGCACCCCACACCAAACTTACCTGAGGAAAACTGTACGGTTGAAAACCTCGGCCTTTAAATAAACTTGCGATTCTGTTTGCCTAGAAACGAAGTTGTCAATCAATCAAATAATTTATCTATCAATTTATTTTCTCAAAGCTACCTGTTTAAATGTTGTATATGAGGCTCAAAACATATCGATTGAAGCATATATATATATATATGGGTATCCATGTAAAAGTGAATTTCTTTGTGCTTTCTATATATATATATATATATATATATATATATATATATATATATATATATATATATATATATATATATATATATATATATATATATATATATACTGAGTATATATATATGCACATTTTATACAGTTATTCAAGCAAAAGCAGTGGTTTAGCCCAGCTAATGGGAAAATGGACCGAGAAAGTATTGGGTGAAACGAAGGGTTAATATTAATCATATTCAAAACTTACCATCCAAATGTAGTGTTGATTTCGAGTTCGTCAAACAACTCTCAAGGAGCAAGGGTAGTTCCACAATAAAGGGTCAATTTAAATAGGAGTAAATAGAAGAAGAATATGGAGATAACGAACAGTATTCAATCTCAAAGTCCATAAAACAATACAAAATAAGAGCAGAGAAAACACAGACCTCTGAAACATCAGGGGTGGGATCAGGTGCCATGGAGGAGTAAGCGTCACACCTGTCGTGTGCTCCTTGCCATGATCAGGAAATAACGGAAAAATTCGTCGTCAATTCAGCGTATTAATAATGGACTAACAATTCCTTGAACTATTCAAGGGAATCGACGCTACGGGACTGTGGTCCATAGGCTATAAACCTTTTCTTTCCTTTTCTTGTTACAGTTGCAATGTCCATAGTGGCGAGGAACACTACTCCTGTACGAAGTATTCTAGTGTCAAGTATTCCTACACAGTTCCCTGTGGGTTTTGGCACTGGCTAAGATGTTTCAGAACAAAGTAAATATATTCAAGAATCATGGTACTAGTATTTTATATGCATAATTAATATCATGTTTGTAAAGTTATACATATTAAATATCATAATTGAAATTACATACAGAAAAGATTCTAATTTTAACAAGATTATAATTTTAACATAGCAAATATAGAGTGTACTAAAATAAAAACTTTACGTGTAATTACTCTGACAATTTGAACACAACTAAACATCTAACTGATTTTTTTATGATACAACTCCAGATACAGCAGCACAGCGCACCAGAGCTTGTGTTCAAGAAAGTGTACAGGTATCTTAAAATTATTATCTTTGTTTACATTAATTAACTGATCTTCTTTACATGTACTATGTAGAGATATATTATGCAGTCTTACTTGAAAAATATTTTGATTTGAATCCTTTATACCTTATTCATATGATTTATCTCTAATAAATTAATATTCACTTTCTTCCCATACAAAATTAGTCGATGGTGACTGGTCTACATGGCAGGCTTGGGGTAGCTGGGGGTCTTGTGACCAGACGTGTGGAGATGCAATAAGAATACGATATAGTGTGCGAAACTGTAACAACCCAGCCCCTAAAAATGGTGGTAAAGGTTGTCTGGGGAAAAATACAAGAAAAGACACGGAAATCTGCAAATTGAAGGAGTGTCCAGGTAGGAATGATTTTCGTAACAAATGGCAATCAGAAGAATGTGCATATGACATATTATTATATGAATAAATCTTAAAATCTTCTTACGTCATTGCAAACAGACAATAATACAAATATTAACACGGAAAACCTTGTTATTATCAAGTATTAACAAGTGATATGATAATACAACATTATGTTGGTTGCCTGACAGTGAATGGCAATAGAGGTATGTGACAGACTTGGGGGCGGGTCAAGTAGCATGAGTTGTAGAGAGGGGATACATACACAGGTCAGTTCAGGATGATGCTTCTAGACAATACAGTGAAAATTGCGCTGTAATCGAATTCGTTCAGGCATGTGCCATGGTTTTTTTCTTTATTCTATTCCCTGCTGTCATAAGAGCTCAGGTACAATAATTCACATTTAGTTTCCGTCCATTCGCCTGTCTGAAACAAAAACTTAAACTTTTGAATGGAAGAAGATAGGTTCTCATATTTCACATCTTATGACATGAGCTTTCCAATATATTTTATACCATGACCCTTGATCTTAATTATGATCTTTACCTACAGGTTAACCTACATGTACTTTAGAAAAATGGTAATAACTTTGGAATGAGAATGACAGGGCTTTGATATACAGTGTATTACATGCCTGCATTACATGTATCTGTGACAACCTTCGGAATGAAATATGGTTTTTGACGTATTTACCTTGGCCTGAAAGACTGATGTCGTTTTCTTACGGAATCACTGTCTAGTAAGTAGAGTATGCCATCAACGATAGTTAGACACGTGGGATAATTTGCATAGGGGGCTTCGCCCGTTATGAATAAATTAACGGGTATCCCACGTTTCCAACTTTAAAAAAAATGTCCCATAATGATGTCCCATGATGTAAACTTAGTACATTCCGAGGGTTGTCAAAGTTACATTTAATGCAGGTATGTGATTCCTTATATTTCCATTTCATTGTGAAATAAATTGTACATTTAGATGTTTAAAATATAGACTAATGATTTCAATTACACGACACCTCCCATGTCATTTCAATAGTCCTCGCCCACTGATGTCAAACACAAAGACAGTCGCACGAAATTTACATGCATATTTGGCCTCCTTAGCTCCTGACCTATCGATTTGCCTAATTTACATTTCGGTAGAATTATCAAGAAATCAACTCCACTAACTTTTAAAGAGTTATCACAGAGAAAATAAATGGAAATGGAAATACATGTATATAAATTTTAATATTGGCCATATCTTTTATATCACAATATACATGTATTTCCTCATTAGCTTTGCACTTTTAAGCGTCATGGACGAACAAGTCAGTTACAATTTGCCACAAATTATAACATCCCAACAAATTGGACCAATTTTTTTCTGAACCTTTTCCTTTAAATCAAAACTTCCAAAAATATTATCATAACATATTTTAAATCATAGCATTGGTGCAATTAAGGCTGGGTCTTTATATGTACATGTACTTGTAATACCAACGGCGGGCTTAAAATGCTCATTATACCAGGGAAAAAATGTCTAAATAAATAGAAAAAAAAGGATTTTGTCGTTAAAGAAAAATATATATCATTAAAATTTATTTTTAACCGGAACTGGATTATAGTGAACGGTGGATGGAGCAGCTACGGTTCTTGGAGTAAACCTGAGTGTCCAGTTACTTGCGGGGGTGGTCACAAAACCCAATACAGATACAGAGCATGTAACAATCCCATACCAAAATATGGCGGACGAAATTGTTCCGGGACTTCTGTGTTAACGCATACAACGCCGTGCAATACAAATCCGTGTGAAGGTATTCATGATTTATTTATAAAGAGAAAAGGATATTTGTATCTATTTTATTTTACTACTATCTCGAATTTAAACATTTTAACATTTTGAAGTCAGCTTGAAAAAAATCGATTTTATAAAGAATGTTCTTCATCTTTAAAATAAATTATTAAATGCTATATTGCCAGCATATTTCCGGGACATACTTTTAAATAAAAGAAAGCGTGTTTTGACAATAGGGTTGAAAATCAATTTCTGTGTAAAACATATGCCCAGGCATTGATCACAATACTTATCTTAGTCACATTGACCATGGCGTTCTTTAGAAGATTTTATGTAAATATTTTATATATATTCAATGACAAATTTTACTCTTTTATATTACTTCCCATATACATTGTACTTCGATCCATTCAAAACATATTTTTTTCTTTTTCAACAGTTTCATCCATTGGAAATGAGACTGTTTCTTCCACAAACGAGACGGAAAACGAAAGTTCTTCTTCAAAAGAAAATGGGTTTAACATTTCTTCTGATACTGGAAATGACACAGTCTCTAACATTACAAATCAAACGTCTGGTGGTTCCCTTTCCAATCAAGTCACCATTAATGCAATCACAGGAACGCCTGATGATAGGGGACCAACCACACCAAGGGCGGAGACGAGCAGCAAGAACGAGAACCAGACAGAAGAATAGATCATATGCATGGAAATATGTCCAGAATTGATCAGATTTGATCTAGACAATTTGAAAATTGTTTGTCGTAAACCAAACGTAAGATCAATAAACATAGAATTTTTCATGAATATGATAGTCATTTCTACCACTCTCTCTTTCTCCCATCTCTCCTACCTCTTGCGTACATCTACCTGTTAACTCTCAAATCTCCTAAATCTCATTCCCTCCTGCATATCTCTCCCCCACCTTTATTTTCTCTCTCCCAGGCTCCCTTTTCTCGCTCTCTCCCTACTGTCTCCCAAACTCTCTCTTTGCACACCCCTCTCTCTGTCACTTCTCTCTAACCTTTATCTCTCTAAACTCTCTCTTTCTCTCTCCCATCTCTCTCTCCCACCTCTTTCTCTCCCATATAGTGATGATTAAAGATATGTGATAGATTTATATATTGCAGTTCTTTATCATTAAAATGCTTTGACGATATCCCCTTCCAATGATTGAATTTGTAGAATAAACAGGTGAAAGAAAATTTTGATTGATAAACTAGAACAACTGTTCTCTGATTTCAGAGGATTCCCACATTTGGTGTCTGCACTAACACTGATAAAGTCAGAAAACTTTACAGTCCATCATTGTGTGTACTGTTAATTTTTAATCCAAAGACTATATTCATGATATTAGAGATATTAGTCGAAGAATTTGATAGAAGTGAAAAACTGAGATGAGTGGTCATAGCAGATCCTTTATGGTACACATTTAGATGATGTTGATCCGTAATTTAGAGAAACCTTCAGTGCACCATAACAAATTATAAAAATAACACTTTCTATAATTATTTCTGAATAATTAATTTTTAAATTTAACTATTTTAAAGAGCAAAATGCAAATCATTACAAATCCAATGATCTTTCGTGAATACATTAATTTCCACATTACTTTTATGACTATTGTCAACATATAAAGAAAAACCAAAAAAATCAGCTCAGTAACCTAAACTGGATAATAGTGAACGGTGGATGGAGCAACTACGGTCCCTGGAGTAAATCTGAGTGTTCAGTGACCTGCGAGGGTGGTCACAAAACAAAATACAGATACAGAGCATGTAACAATCCCACACCAAAATATGGCGGACGAAGTTGTTCTGGGACTTCTGTATTAATGCATACAAGGCTGTGCGATACAAAAAATCCTTGTGACGGTATTCATGATTTATTTTACAGAGAAGAAGCTACTTATATCTATTTTTTTAATCGAGAACTTAAACATTTTTTTTTTCAATTTGAAATCAGTTTGAAGAAGACTATTCAAAAAAAGAACTTCTTTGAAAAGAATTATTAAATGTTATCTTATAAGATGTTACTGTATACAGGGAAATTTTCGCCCCCGTTTATATCTTCGCCCCTTTCGCCTTTGTCACAAGTGAACGAATTTAAAATGGGGCGAATTCAAACAACAGATTATTTTATTAAGATTTCTTAAACTAAACTGTGATAGAGCGAATTTAAAATGGGGTACGGTAAAATCGTTTGTAAATGTAAAGGGCGAAAATAGCCCTGTATAGAGTATTAAAAATGTGTTATTTATGGTCATATAATGAATTATGAATTAACCTATATTTTTTGGTTCTTTAAAAGGAAAAGCAATTATATTGAAAACTATAATATTGGTGAGTATATGTAATTACCAATAATTGAGAGATGTTATATCTTAATATGTGATTCATTTCAGTTCGTTATTTTGAATAGTCAATCAGGGAAAAATAAATTTGGTAGTGATATACATCCATTCATTCAGAAATATTCTGTCATTAAATGGAAATTATGTAATGCAATGACAGACATATTATAAATACATGGGTCTGCTTACCTGTAAGTGATGACCAGGGATTGCCTCATGAATAAGAAGAGCTATAAAGTCAATGTTAACACTGAAAGAGTACAATAGAGTGACCATTATTTCTTTATAATTAAAAACCCTTTGGCAAGCAAAATCGCAAATGCATAGAGATGACGATTTGTTTGTTATTTTGAATTTTAAAAAAATTTAAGATTAATTATCATTATTAAAAGTGCTAGTTTAAAACCCGATTTGATCTCCCGATAACTTTAACAATGATGTAAATGAATAACTACAATTATACTGTTCCTTGGTCATGGAATTTGAAAAGATAAAATATAGCAATCTAATTAAAGTCAGATCTTTGTAACGCTCCAAAATTCTGATGTATCTGTACAGCGACCATCAGAATTTCAGAGCGTGATAAAGATCTTATTTTAATCAGATTGCAAAATATTGCTGCCTCTGGACATTAAGCTTGGTGAGACTTTTCCAAAGTGTGAGTTCTAATCTACAGAAGGGTAAAAGAAACTTTGTAACTTTTTAATAACATTCAGCTTTGCTGATAGATTAGCCATCTAAACATGTAGTAGGGAGATAAGTTAGTAAATTATGAAAATACATGCATCATTTTTCCGCTTTAAATGAATAGCTAGTTAACTCAAACATACGATTTATTGGGACGGAAAACATTGACTAGGAACACCCCTGGGCGTGATCCATCGGGGGGTCCGGCTAAATACTGACCACTCGTCCCGTCTATTGAGTTTGGCTTAACACTAAAGAATACCACAAAATAAACAATGATATAACATTTAAAATGAACTTTTGTGATAGAAGTAGATTTTCTTACTCAAACTTTCTGACCCAATATTACTTGATATCAAGCTTTCTAAACTGTTTGATTTAGAATTATACACATATATAAAATTGCTTACTCTATTGGCAGGTTAGGTACGTCTTTAAATAATCTTGACAACTTAGGTTTAATTTCATTTTCTGTTGCATTCTGGAACCACTGTATTATCTCTTCCTGTTGAAAAATTGAATGTAACCTAATTGTAACGTTGCAAAAATATTGTTAATTTTTTAAAAATAAAAAACCTATTGTCTTACGCCAGTTTTTAGATAATTATTGGATCCTTCTTGATCTTGTCGAAAAACTCTTTTATGGATCCCACATGATTTGATTTCATCATAATCTACATAAAAAAGAAAAATGAATATGAAAGTAATAACTATAAATACGTGTACATGTATGTTGTTTTTTTAAATGAATCACACATTTTTACCTTTCTCATTTCTGATGAAATTCTGTCTACTTCCTGTAAACCCTTCTGATGGACTTCTTCCGGTGACAAATCCAGAGAGAGGTACCAGCGTAGACATTCTTTGTAGAACTCACCTCCATTATCCCAACTATTTACCCCATAACCACTTCTTACATGTTGAAAATATACCTTTCAAATGCATCAAATTTAATCCTTATTAAATAACAGTTGCAATTCAAAAGTAGATAGGATTTCATATAATGAGTACTGAAATATGTTCACTTACTGTTTAAAAATATGTCTTAAGGTCTCTGTATTTTTGGATGATATTTTGAACCGCTGACTTTGCTCTTTCTCTCATTTTAATCCTGCAATATTTGTAATTATTTTGAATGAATAGCTATATATTATTTTAGGTATTAACATACCTTATTTCTTGTGCTTAGTGTATATCTCATTTTCTTACATTCAGCTTCGAAGTATATTTATCAGATATAGAATTAAACAAAGAATACTAGCCATAGGATCGACTAACTAGCGTTAATTATATATTTACATATATTATATTTCCAAATATTATGAATACATTACGATTATAAATTTGTGGAAAGGGTATTTTCCGAAAATACCGGCAAATAAAAAAAACAAATAACAAAAACTAGGTATTATGAAAGGTACTAAACAAACTAGTTTTAGTAGGTAAAAAAGGCCATCCTTTGAATTTTTGTTATTTTAAAGTCAGACCTACCTTGCGGACGCATATAGAAAAAAAAATCATTAGGTATATCCACAATACTGTAAACGGTAACATAATCTCGACTACAATTTTACCTAAATCCAAATACCTAGTATACATTGTAATTTGAAAAAAAAATAAATAGGAAATTAAATCATTGTAACTTAAGTTTTGTATAACGTCTTGGACTCTTTATGCATAGCTTAACCTACTTCGTAGATTCTTCAACAGTTTTCAGATTTGTCAATTTTTCCTGAAACGGTTTGTAGAGAGGAAAGTTTGTATCAGTCACATTAGTAAGAATCCGCATCTATTTGACCAGGAATTTTGTTCTAAAATGAAGGAAAAATACAGATAAAATAATCAAATACTCAAACAACCTAAATTGTATGAAATGTGACCATCTTTTAAAAAAATCTCCAAAACAACCAACCATTCCTTTCTTGTGGAATTTTTCTCACACTTCCGGGAAACCAACAACTATCTTTTATTAATAAAATCTCTAAAACATTTTAAACCTGACGATCAAACACACCTATTCAATTATATATGTACTTATTTGTATTGAATACTTACCACAGAAACATTATGATACGTGTGACGTTTTTCTACAGCTTTTTGAAATAACAGTTTCCTTTTTTCAATCTAGAAGAAGAATTTCAACATGCACTTTAATATGTATGAAAAAAGTAAAATGACAAGAACAAAATTTTAATGAGTTACTTCTTTTGATAATATAATTCATGAACCATTTAAAAAAAAGAAGATTTGAAAACTTAACTTTCTTTGTGATTTTAAGCAATGACCATTTGATATTAAGTTATAATAAAAATTATGCAAAATATAGAAAACATGAATGTTAGTTATTATGTTACTTGAAAACAATTGATACATGCACGATTACAAGTAACCGTTTTCATAACTGATAATGAAATTTCTTATACAAAAGTAACGATTTGTCATTTTGTGTTTCGTACTTGATTGGGCAACAGCTCTAAGACCCTGACGTAGTTTTCATAGTCGCCTACAGTGTCGAATGGAGTAATGCTCGGAAGATAAGATGGGTCAACTTGTGGTCCTTCCAGAAAATTAATCGGGTTGAGGATACTGTAGCTGTTAAGTTATACATGTTTAAAAAACTTCAAAATAGAATGTTATAAATTTTTAATGCTGTAAAGTTTATACATGTAGAATAACTTCAAAAAAGAATG